GTGTCCAGCTGATAACATCTGACACAAGCATGCTTGTAGACAGCATTTTCTTTTAACAGCATCATACTGGGCATTCATTGGAATACATGGTGACAGGGATGCTTCTTAGAGGAATTACCATGTTAGATTCATTAGGAAAAAAATATTTTTTGTGCCATTTATTTTGTAATTTAAGATCAGCATTCCACATTTGCAGAAGGCTGATAGAATTTTTAAAGTAATAAATCAAAGAAGTTCTCTTAATACCTACAGAACTAAATGTAGAGACATTTCCAGAACTCTTCAATGAAACTCAATTTACATATTTTTTGGATGTGTAATCTATGTGACCTTCAGTAACTGTTTGTTTTTTTAAATCTGAAAAATGCCTTTAAAGAGTAATAGCCCAGAGTTTCAAATAGTGCAGCAGGAGATGTAATGCATATTTTAACATGTTTTCTTTAAATTTGTCACACAGACTTGTTGTGCATGATTATGTAAACGTCTGTGATTTTAAAGCCAGTAGTACAAGTGTGTGATGTACTTGGTTGGGCTAAAAAATTCAGAAGTCTAATTTATCTTGAGATATGCTCAGTCAAGTAGTTTTTCACAGCAGTTAGCTAACACTTCAAGCTCTAACAGTGCCCCTGAGCCATAAAAGAAATTTGCATGTAAGAAATGTTTTGAATCTATTAAAACCTCAGCTCAGAGCTAAAGAGTTTCTCTTATGTCTTTGTTGACTAACATGAAGTGAGATCTTACAAAAAGCTAGGCTGTGATCGACAGATGCCAAATCTCAGGTTTTGATGTGATTATATATTTCTTTCATGCACAGTGGTTTGCTCTGGGACTGGAGTTTCAGAAAGACAGCAATCAATGGGTCTGTGCAAGAGTACACAAAATATATTACTCCTGGCAGTCGTCAAGGCAGAATTATTCAAAAAATAATCTGAAATGCATTTGATCATACACTAGAAGTTTTAATAATTTATATTATACCTTATTAGCAAAGTCTTGTGTTTACTTTGTGACTGCCAAAACAAGATGAAAGGCTGCCTCCGTGGAAATACAAGATGCTTTACTCAAAGTCTCTGTCTGTGCATTTCAGTTTGGTAATTTCCCTTCCTTCCCTCATTTTGATTAATAGTATATATAATTTTGAATCTTAGAGTATATTTTCCTTCATTGTGGTCCTATTTAGTGAGAGCAATGCTTATCAAGTCTACCAAAGAGTTTGTGGCCTATCAGGAATGAAACTAGTACAAACACGTATTTTTGAAACTTCTTTACCTTCGGGCTTCCTCCCAGCACTTTTTGGTTGAAAGAGACTTTGAATTTTGTTCTAAATTCCACTGAAATGAATCATTATGGTAATCTTTCTAACTCTTGCAGCTACAGAAGTGTGATGTCTGAGCTCAGCTTAAGGAACTGTTGCACTTTGACTAGTGATTGTATGTGGTAAATATCACAGCTATATCAGGTCAGAATATTGCAGAAATTACCTAAAGATTTCCTTGGAAAGATAATGCACTGTGAATATCGTGTCTAGAGACAGAGATACAAAAAAGGACTGTTCAGAATTAATCCTTCTATTAAGTGAGAGCATAGTGAGTGGACAGTGTAAATGCTAGTTCAAAAAATTAGTTTTTTACCTCCACCGAGGTTTTTTACACCAAAAGTGCATACAGTCATACATACAGTGTTTTTCACTAACACAGCTGTTTATGGGATACTTGTGTGCCAGGAAGAACTGCTTATATTCTTGACAGGCCAGGCTGTGTCAAGGGCCACTCAGCCCTTACTCAGGAGGGAGAGGGTACAGGGACACAATCCCTTTAGCAGGGCTCCTCTTCCCCCTGGGGAATTTGTGCCCAACAGACTCTGAGCAAGAGGCACCCACCTGCAGGTGTCTCTGAGCGATTATCCTGGGTTTAAAAGCTCTCTATGAATCTAAGGATGAGGACAAAAAGACTGTTATTTTCTACAGGAGCCTTTCAGTCTCAGCCAGATGTATCTTCTTTTTTTCCCACAGATGTGCATTCTGTGATGATAATGAAGGAAAATTTCATGGAAGCCTGTGGTATTACCCATGTATCAGGCAGAATTTTGGGCCAAACTAGAGAAGAGTGCTTAGAAAGCATGAATCAGATGAATACACTCTTTTCTTTCCTTGGAAGGGAATATTTGGCAGGATCACCTGAAGAGGTGTACATTATCAAACAGAAACACAGCATGTTTAAGCGGTAAGCTGTGATGTCTTTAAGAAAAGGGTCACTTCAGTTTGCAATTTGAGGTATTTTTGTCTTTCTACCAAAAAAAATCCAAAGCACCCAAACCAAAAAAAAACCCACCCAAAAAATGGGTTTACTGTATCAGCATGATCATCTCCTTTATTGGAAATATGATGAAGTAAGGAAAAAACAGATTTCAAAGCTCTACAGGCTGACTTAGATGAAATGCTACTTGGACAACTCACCAGCAGTGTTCACCACCACTGGAACTTTGTAAACCTTGCCAAAATCTCTTGTGCCATTCTGTCCTACCAGCAGTATGCAGCACTGCCTAATGCATATGCAGTGCATGTTGCAGTAGAGCTGTAAGAAAACAGTATGGTAACAAAAAAAAAAGCAGTATAGGCATGATCAAAATTATAGCAGCAAGATGAGACTCTTTGGTTTTATGTTGGAAAACAGAAAAACTGTATAACATAAATGAAATGCCAGTGAAACCACTACTGTAAACTATGTTACAGAAACATGATTGAATGCATGAAACACTGATGTGCTTAACTGTTAGTGAAGGAGAAAATTTAAAAGAAGTCTCTCAAAACATTTTACAATTTGTGTTTGGGGCATTTTTCTGGCTGTCCCTAGTCTTCCTGAGACATATAGATAGGAGCTGAAGCATTGAGGAGAAGGTCCAGCATTATTTATGGGGTACTGGCCCTTTTTATCTGTTTGCCAAGGGATAGCATCTAGTCTTGTATGAATGAATAACTATGATTTTATCATGCACTGTAGAAATATTTAATTAGGAGTCAATAGGCTGATTGTAGTCAGCCAAATTTTAAGTCATGATTCAGTGAAAAACAAATATCAGAAGAAATAAGACTTTAGTTGTACTGATATTTTTACAGACTTATCCATTCCTTTAAATCACTTTAGCCTTAGTGTTAATGTACCAACAATACATGTAAAAACAGGTCATTTCCATAAATTAAGCACCTTGCATTAGAGGTTTGTGAGACCTTCAAAGAAAAGAAATGCTTTATAAATGTCTACAAAGAATAAATTGCTGAAGAATTTTGACTCATTTGTAAAAAATCCTTAATACTGTACATTTTCCAGTTTAATCAGCTTTGATTTGGGAGGACAAAATAGCTGTGCCAAGTGCTAAAATTTCAAACACCTTAGAAATTTATTGTAATTAATAACTTAACAATAATTTTTGATTAAGTAAATGTGCTCTGCCCAATATAGATTCAAGTTTTGAAGTGGTACCTCACTCTGTGGAGAATTCCACCCCAGTGTGCTTACCTGTTTCCTTTCCTCTGTTTACCCAGTTGACGTTCTTCTAGGTGCTTGTGTGTGAGAAGTCTCCCTCATTTCATAGTTCACTTGGTCAGTAACCCTTTGCCTGTGTGAATTGGGACCCAAGTCAGCAATAACTCAGTTGTTAGAACAGCACTTACTCCAGGCTGTCATTTGCCCCTTTGATGCTTACTTACCTAACCAGTAGTAATCATTATTTTCCTTCTACAATTACTATAATGGAGCTGATTGCTGAAATGGAAAACAGGAGGCAGTTACAGAAGGTTTGAAATTTTTTTTGTGCTGTCACACTTTCATGGGCAGGCACCTTTCTTGGAGCTTTGATATTTCTTTGAGTTTGCCCAGAAATATGTTTGGTAAAAGACAGAGTGGGCATCTGGTTTGTATTTTCATGTGGCCCTGTTTCAGCTTCTTGGAAATACAAGATTATCCAGATAGGGACTTTCTGGGTCCCTCATTTGTTTTATACAAAATGTGAAAGAGAAAAAAAAAATAAAATTGTTTAATCAAAATGCTTTTTTTTAACTGGAAAATTTCAAACCAATTAAAAATCCAACTGAACTCAATTGAATTCCCAAGAGATTCTTCAAATAGAGGGAGGAAAACAGAAATGATCAACAGAAATGTTGCATCCTATAATGCAGCATTGTTACACCTTTGTTTAATTACACCTTTACCACTTACATCTCTTGCAAATGTCATCAGAGTTTCACTGGATGATGTTTTTTCCTTTTGAGTATCTACAATACTGAACTGAATAAGGAGAACAGAGAGGAGCCTTTTACTCTTTACACTTGGATTTTCTGCCGCAATAGTGATGCCATATCTGTAACTTGTGCTGCAGTTAAAAGACATCATATTCTTGGGGACCTTGGTGCTTGCAGTCAGGTTGGGAATGGTAATGGCAGGCACAGCAGGGAGCTGGGATTCAATATGCTGAATGAGAAGGTGAGTGTTTTAGCACAGCTGCCTCCTGAGGGTCAGGGGAAAGGAAAAGCCCTTTGGGAGGATTTTCAAGCACCACTGAGCTAGCACACCAGGAGTCAATGATTGACTTTAGAAGATCCCTGCTGTGCAAAGGATTGAGTGTTGTGGTCCCCTTTATCACTGGTTAGACATTTCTTTTGGAGAAGCTAAAAATGAGAAAGTAGTGAGATTGCAGCAAAACAAATTAAAAAATAACCATCAAACAGCTGTCTCTGGTGGCAGTGAGGTCTGGAGATTTGTTTCTGTTGCTAACAGCTGCATTGACTTGGCAGTTAATTTCATTAGAAATACTGATTTTGTATGGCATTTATAAGATTCCTGTACAAAAAACTGATGACCTGGTGACGATGCAGTGCAGGTTGAATTGTTGGTCTTGAAAAGGACATTAATTTGAACCTCAGTACAAAAAGGAGAGTGTATTTGGTATGTACAGTCAGAAGGACAGAGCACAGTTTCAATCCTAATGTGTGCATTTCTTCACAGGAGTTCCGACGTTCAGCGCAGAATGGCACAAAGTGGAAAGCACAGCCTAATGCTGAGATCCCAGTGAAAACACAGCTCAGCTCCTGGATGGCTTTGCAGCTGCCATGGCAACAAGAGGGAGGTGGACTGAAGATCCTGTCTGTCAGCCTGGCTCTACTGGCAGTTCTTGTTATGTTTTACTACGGAGGAATGAAAACAGAACTGTGAACTGAATGGGGCTTTTATCAAAACAATGAAACTGCTGTTCAAAATCTTCAAAGGAAACACTTTTACCAGCAAATTTTTTTTTTTTATTTTAGAAAAAAAAAAAGCTAATATAAATTGGGCAATAATTTGTACTCACTCTATGCCTTTCCTGCCATTCAAAGGAGAGAACATTAATAAGCTGTTCGAAGGCCTATCTTGCCAAATCCTGAGATCCTTGGTTGGTTGAACAGGTTGTTACATCTTCTCTTTTCTTTTTTTTCCTAAAATGATGCAATGTTTGCATTACATACTCTTTTCATATTTGCTGTATCAGATAAAATTGCATTAATTTTTTAAGGAATCTTTCCATTGAGTGATATTGGTCATCTTTTATGGGTAGATTATTTAAAGCTTTCCTAAAGATTTTGCTTGATGCAGTGTGATCGTTTGGTATCTGTCTTTTTACATTAGAATGAACACTGCAAGGCCATTAAAGTTTGTTATTTGTTGCTATTTATTTTGCTGTCATGTTTGAAAGAATTTTTGCCTGCTGTCTTGCATCTCTCAACTTCACAATGAGTTATTAGGCTTTTTTAATACAAGAAGAATTATTTTTTACGTAGAAATAGTCCTAAAGGTGTTGGGTTTTTATAATTGAGTGGGAAGATACTGTTCTGGTGATAGAGTTCTGTGAAAAGATGGATTTAATACAGTCTGTAGATTTTATACAATCTACCTGGGAATCTCTTAGCTTTGTGCTGTCTCAGTAAAACAATTATTACTCTGTTAGTGGGGAGGTTGCATTTTACACAATGAAAATTTCTAATTACTTTTTTCAAGCCATTTTGTCATGACAGAATCTCCACACATCCTGTGAGTGTACTGGTGAGTCAGGGACTGGACTGTGTGCCCAGTTCTTCCTGCACCTGACCTCATCATATTGTTGGTTTGTTCATGCTTTGTCACCTTTCTGAATCTTCATCCAAACTTCCACTTGCAGAGACTGTTTAAAATCATAACACAGGCACTGTTTAGAGGTTTTTTGATGTTTGTGTCACATCCAGATGGAGCTGAGCTGTCTTACATGGCTGTTGTGGTTTAACCCCCGCAGGCAGTTGAGACACTCACCCCCCTGCAGTGGGGTGGGGGCAAGAATCAGAAGGGTAAAAGTGATAAAACTTAAGGGTTGAGGTAAAGACACTTAGATGGGTGAAGCAAAAGCTGCACATGCAAGCAAGGCAAGCCAAGGAAATAAATCATTCATTACTTTGACAGGCAGGTGCTCAGCCATTCCCAGAAATGCAGAAGAGGCCTTGACTCTGTATGAGCCCTCCACAGCAGCAGAAAATCCAAAACATAGCCCTATGCCTTGCAGTGAAAAAAATTAACTCTGTCCCAGCCAAAGCCAGTACATTGTCTCTACAGTGCAGAAGAATAATCCCCTAGTAAGAGTGCTTTGTACTTTATAAATTGGGGATTCATAATAGTTACAGACAATTAACCAGGAGGCTCCACCATGATGCTTTCAGCACAGCCTGTAAATTATAACAGCAGATGTTACTGTCTTCAGGAAATCAGGTGTGTGATCAATCAAATACTAAATTTTTGATAGCAACCACTGAAGGTCATAAGCCAAGACTCAAAATCCACACGTTTTAAAAGAAAAAAAAAAAACACAAAAAACATGCCCTTAATTTTCTTCTGTTTGTTGGCATGCTTTTTTTGTCAGGCTTTTCTGTACAAAAAGGAAAATATAACAATCAGTAATTAATGTTTTTAACAAATCTGAGAAATTCTCAAAAAAAACCCCACCAGCAGGACTCTGGGAGTTGAAATTTTCAGGAAAGTACCACAGATTGCAAGATTCTCAGGAAAACTGTGGATTGGCAAAATCATTATATCCGAGCCAAATTTTCACATGTGATGGGAATAATCTATGCAGATATGTTGTGTGCCTCTAGCATTATCTCTGTCAGCCACTCTAGCTTATCTAATTGTGGCAATTACAGACTCATTGCATCAGCTATTACAGAGATTTACCAAGCTTGTGATTTAGATTCTGTGCATCGTTGGCTTTAATGGGACCAGCTTATTTTCTTAGAAATAGTGCAATATACTGAAAGAGGCCAAAGAAGACTTTGTAAATGACATTGCCTGCAGTATGTTCTTAAACTGAGCTTTAATCTGATAAGTAGGAAGTGTTGTTTATCATGTATTTTGTTGCCTTCCTTTAGATTTTGAGAGAGGCTTTTGACGCTTTGTGATGTAGAGCAGCATTGTGCTTGTCACTGCATTCTGGTTATGTAAAAATAAAGCTTCCAAAGCCACTGAGCTGAGCAAAACAGTTCTGGTCAAACAGCTCACCTGGACAAAGCATGGACTGCCTGGGGATACTGGTGCAGCTTGGGAAACCTCAGGAGTGAGTGTACAAGTACATCCTCCTGAGTTGACCTGAACATCTGATCTGTGATTTGTGGCTCCCTGAATGCCCTAAGTACCCTGCCAGGCAGCATTTTTAATTTTTACATCAACATTATGTTTGAGACCTGCTTCCAATATTCCCTCTTTGCAAGCCATCAGGGTGGGTGAGAAATCTGCTGCACTCCAGCTTAACAAGGTCATTGCAGGAAAAGTTACCTCATAGTCAATTGATCCCACTTTCACACATGCTGAACACACTCATCACTAGAGAATGTGTCTGCTAATAAGCAATCTACGTTCAATGACCCTTTGTCAGAGCAAAAAAAAAGAATATCATTTCCATTTGATACCAGGAAAGCCTCAACTATTTTTCTTAAGTGTTTGTGGTAGCTCTGAGTTCTCTTTGGCTGTTTGAAATGAGGAATCTTGCAAACCACAGAACTCTGAGTAGCAAAGGCATCTTAAATCTGTTGTGAACAGCATTAAGTACACACATTTTATTTTCTACTCAAGCATTGTATGCTGAAGGACTTTGTCATTTAGTCTTTTCATTGTAGCTTTCTAGTAATAGCATACTTGTTTAGAAAAGAGTATGACATAGAATAAGTGTTTTATGTAAAGCTTGTTCTATAAAGCAAGAGAAAAAAGAAAAGGTGCTTTTTGAGGAGACTGACCTCTGTTACATCATTCCTTGCACATCTCTGAACGTCTCACAGCTACTGTTAATCTAGTTTCACTTCCAGGTTCAACTTCCCATATGGAAAGCTGGAGTGATTTTTGAATAACAGCAAATAATATCAGAAGTGGCAGCAACTGGCAACTCTGACACTGAGCTTGGCTGTGGCCATTACCCAGAATCCTCCTGCTCTTCTTGAGAAGCAATTACAATTTCACAGGTTGGAATTAAAATTCCCTGCAGTATGCAGGAGAGTAACTGAAACTGTCAAAGTGATTTCAAGCTGCTAATCTCTCCCTGCTCCAAGAGTGAAAATAGAGCCCCTCTTACCCAGGCACAGATCTGACAACTTAAAAACTCCAGCCTTCCACTTCACTTAAATGCATATGGAGAGTGGCTTGATCTGCTCACAGAGGATATCTGTAAAGATGTTATGTCTATGAACATTTGTGTGTTATTAACAAGTCTATCTTTTTTAACTTTAAGACGTGTGTAACTTCAGGGACTAAGACGAATATAAAAGAAGTCTTATGCAAGAGCTCTGACAGTTTGGAGGAATGAGTAGGCATGTGCCTGTTTGTGTGAGGCTTATTAAAATCTTTATTTATGTCTTCTCAAACATGTAATTTTTTTGCTAGAAAAATTGCTTGCAACTTTCCCAGCTTTTATTTTCACAGTTTTATGTCCCACATTATATTTTGTGTGCACTGTGGTTGATTGTATAGATAGAAATAGAGAGCACTTAGAAATTAAAAGGCAGAGGAAAAATTGAGAGGCTGTAAATCTAGGGTGCAAAATGAAAAATATTTGTGCAAAAGCTGCAAAGCAAATTTGGTCTAGGAGACATGGACCACAGAGTTAGGAATTGGCTGCAAAATACCATTGGACTTGTTCACAGGCAGGGTTCATCCACTAGATAATTAAAGTCAGAGTCATTGCTGGAAAATGTTTGTGTAAATATCATTAGATGTCTTTTAGTTCCATATTTGATTTATGCATGCTCTTAACATTCAAGTGAATCTTTTTTCCCTTAAATGAAAGTTCTTCAATTGATAGAAGGGAGATGAATTATGAATAGTCTATTTTCATTTTAAAGAAGCCCAATACCATAAAAATTGGGCTGCATGTCACTGCAACTACTGATATCCCAGAGTGCCCATTTGGGAAGTTGTGGTTATGGATTTGGATCATTAATGCTGTCCAGTCATATCGCGTGAACGGAGAAAGAATAATATTCGAGTATCCTTTCAGCAATATTTTGTTGGAATATTGCTGAAAGGATACTCGAATATTAGCAATATAGCAATTATAGCCATTCTTCTTAAAAAGTGGTCTTAACATGATTTTTTAGAGGACAATCTGCCCTGCGTGGTTTGCTTAATGCTGGTTGTAGGTAATGGGGTGACTTTCCATGTTGGTGACCAGAGTGTGATGCAGATTTGTGCCTACAACTTGCATGCTTTAAATGCCCCCTCTGTCTTTGAGTGTGAAAACAGGATAGTTGTGGTTAATGAGCATAAAATATTGTGTCTACTCTCTTCCTGGGTAGTGTTCATGGGGGGTGGTGTACAAATGTTAGTTGCCAGTGGGTTACAGATTACAGGAGAAGCTGGGAGATGATAAAACACACCACAAAAGGGCCATGATTGCTTGGCACATAGTATTGAGTTGCGGGTCTGAGAGAAATTAATGTGGTGCAATCGTGACATGATGGGAAATTTGACTTCTCATGGTTAGGATATCGCTACAGTATAATCTGAAAAATAAAAAGCTAATGGTGCTAGGAAGGCTTTGCTGCACAGACACCCTTCCCAGCTGCTCATCACTTGTGTTCCTGTGCTGTGTTGGAGCAGACTGTTCTACCACACTGGTGCCACAGCTGGAGAAACACCACCCAGCTTTCCTGGCCCCTGGCTGTGAGCTGGGCACACACACTTTCCTGGAGGAGGGCACCCCAACTCTGTCCCCTCTCACCCTGCTTGTCAGTGCACTGCATTTCTTGCTGCTTGCTAGGGGAGATGGGTGAACTGTGGCCAGCCAAGAGACTTGCTCAGTCCAGTGGCATGCAGTAAATAATGCTTATTCTTTAGTGGTTGAAAGCTTCAGCTTTTTGTTCATGTTTCAAGCACCTCCATTCCACTGTGAGCCTGCATTCTCTCTTACCCTTTGTCCCAGCTGCCTCAACCAAGCTCTCAGCACCTCATTTTGTTTTGTGGAAGATGACATGTATTCAGAAGGGTCAGTGTTAGTCTGAGTAAGGTGGCTTCTTCCCTGAAAACAAGAATGCTGCTTCTCCAGAGGAGCTCATTTGCCAGAGGTATCAGTGCTTCGAATCCATTGTGTTGCAGTGTCTGTTCTTCAGCTGTGTCTGCCAGAGCCTTTGGGTTATGTCAGAAACTCCCATTTGCTAATAAGCAGGATTAAAAGGCCTCTTCTGCTGTGCTGTATTAGTTTTATACTTGCAAATCCCAGAAATGCTGTAATTCAGAGTGAGAGATAAAACACATCCTTGATGTCAGCTGAACATATTAAATTTGATATCCACTAGTGGCTTTATGAGCTATAAAAGCCAATATCTAGAAATCACCAACTACAAGAAGTCTACACAAGAGATTACAAAGGGCTGTGTGTGACATGGCCTGCAGAGTGTTAGTATGAGACTGCAGGAGGAAACAAGAGAGCATGTCACCAAGTCAGCTGTACAGATAACTAGTGGCAGAGAGAAAGATGTTCACACTCAAGGGACAGCTTAATCTCCAAGTACTATGGTAATATTAAGGAAATTTAGAAAAGACAGATAGCAGCTTGGACATGCTGCAGCAGCATTATTTTGCTTCTGTCCTGCTCGGATTTAGTAGGTGAAAAGGGCAGTCTGAATAACATTCTCCAGCAGAAGGATAAAACAGAGCCTAACAGCAGATAGCAGCTTTGGATCTGTGAGAAGGAAATTATTTAGAACAAATCTGAACCTCCTGCACTTCCATATCTCCTCCCTGTGCTGCTCTGAAGGGACACCTTGTTTTGATTTGGTTTGATTCGGCATTTTTTTCTGAAAACATATATTCAGGTTCCCAAACCTTTTTTATTTTATCTGACTGAAATAATACTAAAAAAAAGAATCATTCACTTATGCTTCTGGTTTTAAGATCAGACTTGTTTGCATTATTTTGCATGCCCTGTGAGCCTGCATCAACCAGCATCTTACTTGTAGAATGGATTAATCTTTGTATTGATTTGAACTTAAACTGGCAGTTTTTAGTTGGTTTGTGAAGTACTACCAGGGGTATCGAGAAAATTAGGCCTAGCTGGCAACCAATTTAATACATATTTACTGTCTCTCTCTACAGATTTGCTAGTATTGCATGCTAAAAATTGTTGACGTTAACTAATATAAATCCACTGATAAATTCTCTGTTTCTACCAGTTTATAGTGTCATTAAAGTCAGACACACGGCTGATTTGATAGCCTTGCCCCAGCATATATCTGCTGTAAGAATTACTGCTACAGGACAGCATTATACATGGCTTTCACCATGTCCTCTGCAACATCTGCAGTGCAAGAAGAAAAACAAATGAT